CCACATCAAAGCCAAGGAGCCGCTCCCTCTCCTCGCTGGTGGGGAGGCGCAGGAAAGGGAACGAGGAGGTGCAGATCATGTTTTTGTCCTCGTACAAAGCCACATGATACCTGTGCCCGTCCGCAGCCCACCTTTGACGAGCCGTCTCCGATGCAGCCGCGAAGCCACGCGGGGCAGAGGGGAAGGAGGGCTGAGGCCTGCAGCAGACGAGCGTGGGGAAGCACCTTGGTCTCCCTGGCCAAGAGAAGCCCTCGTCCTCCCACGCGGGGTCCATGAGCGGGACGCCAGGGCCCACCAGCTCGTCGTAGACCCCGCGGTCGGTCAGCCGAAGAGGCGCCGATGCGGTGATGCCCCAGCTCGTCCAGAACAGGCGCGGCCTGCGACACGGCACGAACACCGACGAACACACCAGCGTCGGCCTCACCTGCAGCGCCTCCGAGATCAGCTCCACGTTGGCGTCGGACATGCTGGCCACGTTCTCCACGAACCAAACGAGCCTGTCCTTGAAGACGGCGGCGAGGAGAGCCAGGATGCGCGGCACCTCGTGGAACAGCGAGGACTTCCTGCCGCTGAGGCCGCGCCCGCCGACGTTGAGGCGTGACAGGTCCTGGCAGGGGCTGCCCGCTGCGACCACCACCAGGTCGACGAGGCCGCCGAACGCCTCGAACAAATCCCGCACCGCCTCGCTGCCCACACGGGTGACGTCGCCCCAGTCGATGACACCTGGCCAGCGGAGTCTGACAACTCGCCTCGCCTTGGCGTCCGTCTCGGCCGCGACGAAGGCCGCGATGCGGACGGGCAGCCTCGAGAAGGCGACGGCGAGGCCTCCGATGCCGTCGAACAGGCCGATGAGCAGCACCGACAGCACCCTGCGGACTGCCCTGGCGGGGACGCGTGGGTTGGCTGCCGCCAACGGTCGGGCGGGGTCCTCGGGCATGTTGAGGAGCCTGGCCCCTATCCCCAGCTGGTCGGGGACCGTCCTCGGCACCTGCAAGGCGGCGGCGACGTCCTCGCGCAGGCCAGCTGACGTGCACACGCCGCCGCCCATCTCCGACGCGTCCGAGGACGTGACCATGCCGTCGATGCGCGCCCGCAGCGAGGAGGCGGCCAGCGGCAGGACCATCACGCCCATGAGGAGCTCTTCCACCATCTCTGCGTCCAGGTAAGCCCCCTGCGCTGAGGACGCAGCCAGCGTCCAGACGGAGCTCAGGATCCCGAAAAGCGGCCGCCTGAACTCGAAGGCCCTCACGAGCTTGCCGAGGGCCGCCATGGCCACGCGCCACGAGACCAGGCGCCGCTGCACCGCGGCCAAGCAGAGGCCCGCAGTGGCCAGCGCCTTGGCAGAGGGGACCGCGAGGCGCCCGCTGACGCCGTCGACGTCCGCGCCCATGCGCTCGACCCTCAGCTGCCTGCAGCGCGCCTTCTCGGCCGAGAAGGAGACGCTTGCCCTCTCGTAGCTGGCGCGGACCTGCAGTTGGAGGTCGCTCGTGGTCCCCACGAGCTTGCGGGCCAGAACCTCCTCGACGATCTCCGGCGCATCGAAGTCGTCGATGTAAACCTGCCACCAGCCAGCGTCCTGGCCGCTGCCTGCCTCGACCAGGGGCCGCGCGCAATCCTTGCGCCACTCCCCGTCTGAGGGGAGCCCCGCCCCGAGGGGCGGCGCCAGGCGGCACAGTCGTCGGTGGATGTGCTGGAAAACGGGCACCGCGAGCGACCAGCCCATGGCGATGACAGCCGAGGTCACGTAGACAACGGGCTCCGAGCGACCAAACAACTTGCCCGCGAGCGGCCGCCCCACGGCCATGTAGGGGTGCCACGCGGGCGGGACCCGCCACACGAAGAAGGCCCCCTTCTGGTCGTCGCCCGACCACAGCAGCAGCTTCCCCTCGGGGATCACGACCGACGTCCAGGACGTCGAGGCCGCGAGCAGCGCCGCCTCGCCCACGTGGGCCTTCAGGAGCGAGTTGCCTGGCACCATGTTGAGGATGAGCCTGGTGACCCGCGTGGCGCCAGGCGCTGGAGTGCCCTTCTTCTCCACCGCGAACAGGCCGTTCAGCACGGGCTCGCCCCTCACGCGGACCAGCTCGCTCTCCGCGAGCGTGGTGAAGATGCCGAGCGACACGAGGTGCAGCGCCAGCTCCTCCCAGTCCGCATCCGTCTCCACGTTCACGCGGGCCCGCGGCAGCGGGTCGGGCCAGTCGGATTGGTCGAGGAGCGCCAGCTCGGGGCGGCGCAGCCAGGCGCCGACCTCGTCGTCAACGAAGTCGATCGCGTCGAGCGTGGCAGCGCACTCCCGCGCGGGCAGCCCAGGGGCCAGCTCGCAGAGCCGGCAGGGGAGGGCCTTCACGCCCGTCTCGCCCTCGTACGCTGACCCGCAGCCGCCCGCCAGCTCGTCGATCGCGGGGACCACGACCATGGCCAGCGGGTCCTCCGCCAGGGCCGCCGCTCGACTCTTCAGGTGCACGTAGACCTGCGTCTGCGCCTTCGACAGGGTCGGCCTGTGGCGCCAGCCTTCCTGCGCGCGGCCGCAGAACGCGTAGTTGAGCGCCACCACGCTGAGGTACAGCCACGCCTGCTCGCTGACCTCCCGCGCCACGGCGCGGCGGCGGCACCTGCGTGCCTTGGGCAAGGCACTGTGGGCCAGCCAGCGGTCCACCTCCTCGGTCGACGGAAGGGGAAGCGGCAGGGCGTCCCGAACCCTCCTGTTCGAGGACCCTCCGCTCCCACAAAATGTGTCCGCACGCATGCTGAACGACCGAGCGAAGTGGCCAAGGCTGCCTGGGTGGCGTCGCACTGCTGCCACCAGCCGCGCCGCCAGGTCGACCGCGACGATGCTCTTGCCGAAGCCGAAGGAGAGCTCGTCGGACCAGCACTGCAGCGCGGTGGCCAGCGGGGGCTCCGCGACGCCCTCACCCCCCCCGCCTAGGGTGGCACGATCTCCGCCCTCGGTAAACCGAGTTTGGCCCACGCCGCGGACTCCCCCACCAGCGCCCTTCACAGGGCTCGCGCCTTTGATGGAGGCATCGGCCACCCTCCCTGAGGAGGCTCCACCATTGCGCAAGGCAGGCGGCAGGCTGCCGCCGCTCAGGTCCGACGAGGGCGCGCCGCCGCACGAGCTTTGAAGGCTCGCAGGCGGTGCTGGGCGTTCGTCTCCCCCGGCTGCTTCGGAAACTTCTTCCGCATCTCCGCGAAGGACATCTTCCACGGCGGCGGGGCTGCCGACCCCTCGGCCTGCGGGGGAGGCCCGCCCGCGGCCGCCGCCAGGGGGGCTGGTGGAGCCGCCGCGGAAGCCTTCCTGCGGGGCGGCCGAGCCCGCGGCTGGCGGGGGGCCTGCCCCCCAGGTCCCTTCGCCTGCGCTGTCGCAGGGGGTGCCCCCCCTGCCTGGCCAACAGACGGAGGCGCCAGCGGCGGGCGCGCCCCCGTCGGGCCTCCGCCCTATCCCGGCGTCTTGGCGGAGGCCAGCCGTGCGGAGAGCTCGTCCAGCTTCATCTCCCCGAGCTGGATGCTGCGGATGAGCTCCTGCTCCTCGCTGCGGATGGCCGTGGGCTCGTCGCGCGGCGGGATCAGCTCCAACCACTTCGCCGCCGCCCACGAGCCATCCGTCGTTGCCACCTGCAGCACCTGCAGCCATCCGTCGTTGCCATCCGTCGGCGCTGGACGATCAGGTCGCAGGCGTGGGCCGCCTTCCCCTGCATCAGCAGGTCCACCGCCTCCGCGAGGGTGCGGAGTTCGCGGCACGTCTGCACGCCGATCTCCTTCACCGGATGCTGCGGCAGGTAGATCGTGAGGAGGTACCGCAGCGCGATCGGGCCCGTCGCGTCGACGGCTGCCCCCCCCTCCTGCGAGCCCAGGAAGTCCGCCATCTGCTGCAGGCTCAGCTCCGTGAGGCGGCCTGGGGAGGCGGCGGCCATCCGACGACAGAAAGCCCTCTTCGTGGCCAGGTCGCGCGGCACCGCCGCGGGGTCCGAGGAGCCGAGGCCGTCCCCGCCGCCGTCGCCAGGGGGACCCTCCTTGCCCTCGCGGATGGCCATCACGAGCGCCTGCGCCAGCTCCGCCATGCCGCCACTCGGACCAGCTCCTGGCAGCGCCCGATCGGGCACGGGGTCTCCTGACCCTCGGGGGGCCGCGTCCGAGGCGGCCCTCTTGAGCTTCGCGGCGCGCTCGACCAGCAGGTCTCCGAGCGACCGCTTCTTCACAGGCCCCTCGCCAGCCGCCTCTGCGCCGAGGGGGAAGCCGTCCAGGTTGACGTCGCCAGCAGCCCGCTTCCCCTCCTCGAAGCGCACACGAGCACCCTCGAGCTTGCCTCCCAGGCCGCCCGCGGCAGCCGCCTCCTCGCCTGCGGCCAGCTCTGAGCCAGGCCCGCGCGACGAGCCCCTCACGCTCAGGAAGTCGTCGAAGGGGGCAGCGCCAGGCGGGGCCCTGGGAGGACCTGCTGCGGCTGGTGGGCGCCCCGCCGCTTTGGCCACCGCAGCGGGCCTCGCGGGGGCGGCGGCAGCGACCAGCGGCCCGAGGCTTGCTGCTGGCCAAGCCGCCTCGGGGTTCGTCTCCTGGCACTCGACGGACAGCGCCCGCAGGTCCCCGGGGCCGAGCTCCGCCCCGTCCGACACGTGGATCAGCTCGGTGCACGTCCCCGGCCCCTCCAAGACTGAGCACGGGTTCTCCGAGCACACGTGGATGAGCGGGCGCACCGTCATCGCGCTCGGCTGGCCAGGGTGGCTGGCCCACCAGTCCCAGTAGCCGTCGTCGCTGAAGAGGAACTCGGCCTTCACGAAGCGCAACGGCGGCTCTGCGCTGGAGACACGCAGCGCCCGCCACGCGAACCGGCGCTGCTCGAGGCCGCCCGCAGTGTAGCCCGTGCTGCAATAGCATCTGCCCTGGGCCACCGCGAGTGGGACGATCGGCACGGGTCCGTCCTCCACGGGCGCGGGCACGACGGCCTCCGGCGCCTCCCAGAGGTCCTCGTCTCCACCGTCGAGGTCCTCGACAGCCGCCTGGGCCATCCAGCCCCGCGCCTGCCACAAGTCAGGCCAGCGACCCTCGCCTCCCAGTGCTGCCGCCAGGAGCGCGAGGAGGGCGGATGGCGGCCCTCAGAGCAGGCCTCGCGGCCACGAGACAGCCCGTGGCCGTGACCCCGAAGAAATGCTTGGACCTTTAAGCCCAAACAGGCTACGGACGTGTTGGGGCGGCGTGTCCTGGCCAAAGGGGGGGGGACGGGTATACGCATACAGGGGACCAGTATACAGACATATATATATATATATATATATATATATATATACACACACATGTACATACACTTTTCGGTCGTCGCGGGTGGGCGATTCGCCACACCGTCAGACGCGCCGCGCGCGCGCCCCCTGGGCCCGCGCGCGCGCCGAGTCGCCAAGGCAGGAGGCAGGAAAAGGTGGAGACGGCCGACCCCTCACGGGGGCAGTGGCCGGGCGCGGCGCCGGGGCGCCGCGGGGCAGCAGGGCGGCGGCGAGGCGGGCGGCGAGGCGGGCGGGGCGGCGCGCGAGAGCCCAGCGGCGGAGGAGGCAAAAAAAACGAGGAGGCGGCCGGGCCCTCACGGCGCAGCGGGCCCTCACGGGCGGGGGCCGAAGCGCGCGGGCGGCGGGCACGGGCACCGCGGGGGGGGGGGGGGGTGCGGTGCGGGGCAGGGCGCGGGGGCGGCGGCGGGCCGCGGGCCCACGGCAGCGGGGGGCCATGGGCGAGGCGGAGGGCACGGGGGGGCCGCGCCAAAGTCTGGGCGGGCGGGGGGCGGCCCACAAGAGAGCAGGGCCAGGCAGGAGCCGCGCCAGCGTCAGGCGGGCGAGGCGAGGCCGAGAGGCCAGGAGTCGCCCTGGCAAGGGTCAGAGGACGGGCAGACGGGCGGCGGGAGAGGGGCGGGAGAGCCGCGACCCGCGCAGGGACGGGCGGGACAGAGAGGCGGGGCGATGCGGGCAGCCGCCTGCGGAGCGCTGGGGAAGCCGACATAGAGAGGGCAGCACCGCCCCAGGAAGGCAGCGGGCCGCAAAGGCAGCGAGCCAGGCCGGCACGGACGCGGCGGGGCGAGGCAACGGACGTGGAGGGCCCGCCAGGAGAGCCGAGCTGGGAGGGGAGGCAGCCGCGCGGAGCACCGGCCAGGGCGGAGCGAGGCAGCGAGGGGCGAAGGCCAGGGAGCGCATCTGCGCGCCGCTGCGGGGCAGGAGCCCGGCGAAGCGGGGAAGCTACGAACAGGCGCGAGGCACCCAACGCGCCCAGGGGCCGCGCGGCCCCTCGCGGCGAGCCTAGCCCTGCTCAGCGACCGGCGGCGCAGCGCCCCAGCCCCGCAGCCGCCTGGAGCGCCCAGGCCCCGCGGAGGGGGTCGGTCGGCGCGGGTGCCAGGAGGGAAGGCCCAGAGCGGCCACTCGAGGAAGGCGACGTCTTCCGCTAGAGGAGGGGCCGCGGCGACGTGGCAATGGGGGCGCAGGCTCCGCGGAGGAGCGGCGCGGGGGGCAGCGTCGGAGGGAGAGCTGGGGCCCTGCAGAGGGGCGGAGGCGAGGTCAACGCCGAGAGCGGCGGCTCCTGAGGCAGCGCCGGCCGCTGCGCAGGGAGACCTCCCACTGAGCGCTGGAAGGGGCAGCGCCAGCGTCGTCGTCGGGAGCGCGGGGGTGGTCGGGGTCGCGGCCGGCCGGTCGGGGGGGGAGGAGGAGGAGTGGAGTGGAGCAATCGGACGTAGTCCGTTCGGAACCCAGAGAAGCCAGGGGGGCCATCCAGCATTTCTCGGAGGGCCGTGGGGGGCGACATCCCACGGCCCACCGCGACAGGCCCCCCTGGCCTCACAATTTACTCGGAGGCAGCTCCCGCCGCGTAGGAACCGATCGCGGCTTCGGCTGCCGAAACGTGCAAAGCCTCTAGCACTGACTTGCTGGGACCCGATCTGGACGGGTGGAGGCCTCGCCTGATCCTGCTGAGGTTCTCGAGGCCTTTGCCAGTGGGTCCCAGGGCCCTGCGCTCTCCCACTTGGTGGGAGAGAGGGCACGGCAAAAGAAGGCATTTAACCTGGTGCGTGGCCGTGTGGCCGCACTTAACACAGAAGAACAATTGCCACTTGGGGATGGTGGCCAAAGTGTGGGAGGGGTGGATCAACTTGCCACTGATCACGCGGGGACCCCTCGACCACAGCACCTCTCCACACGCAGCGAACTCGGGAAGGGGGCAAGGCGGCACACACTCTGTGGCGGCAGCTGGAATAACGTGGCAAGCGTCAACGATGATGAGGCAGGCAGGGCATCTCCATTTGTCTGCACACCGCTCGAATTTGTGCTGAGAAGCCGCGATCGCGGTCTGCAACTGAGAGCGCGGGGCTGCCTCCTGGGTGGATTGCCTCTCTGGCCACTGTCCTCGAGGCTCTGAATTCTTGCCTAAAGAACGTAAAATCAGTCGTGCCCTCTGTCGGACGATGGCTGCAATAGCGTCGTATTCATCGGTCCTGGGGACGGGCGGGAGGGCAAGGGTGGCCGACTTGTGGGCCGCGCTTCCCGCGAGCTCGTCGGCATGCTGGTTGCCGAGAGCCAGAAATTTTTGGAAACCATGCAACGTGAGGGGATCGGCGTGAGATGGGGCCCAGAGCACCGTGACAGAAGAGGAGCCGCCAGATCGACCTTGCACGAGGTGCCGAATTCTCAGCCAGAGATCCCCATTCTTATTCTTGCCTCTGAGGCTGCCAGGTCTGAGACATCTGCCATTCTGCCAGCCGCGCTGCAGGGCTAGGTGATCAGTAACAAACGTGAAATCCTGCTGGCACGTCTCCAGTGCCAGGCAAAACGCATGCAATTCGCCTCTTGGGACGGTCTGGCGGGGGCCTGGGAGGGGGGCGAGGAGGCCCGCGTGGAGGGTCCAGGAGGCCGAGGGAGGGTCCCATCGGAGGGCCGCGAGGCCAGAACCAACACGGCGTCGCCTGACGTCGTCGGAAAAGGCGCCGCCAGACCCGTCGCCAAAAAGAAACAACTCGCCCTCAGCGTTACGAGCTCCTTCCCACGACGGCAACCCCTCCCGCACCGCACCAACAAACTCCCACCCGTCCCTCCCAGTCAATGGCTCGAACGCGGGCGTAGTGAGAGCGACAGAGGGGATGCCACGGAGCCACAGGGCAGGGTCAGCATTGGCCCCCGCCACGGCTCGCGGTAGTAACTTGTCACTGGCCTCAAACTCAGGTCCCACATTCGCCTCGCACTGCCACATTCGGTGAAACAAGGTTTCAGGAACTCCTGCGCTGCATCGGTCGCAGTTCTTGTCGATCTGGTAGCCCGCGTTGTGGAGGCGGTCTCTGGTCCATTGTCCACCACTGATGACGGTGTTGTTGAGGGCCCAGTCGCTGAAATCACCGTTTGCGAGGAGCCTCCTTTGTTCAATGCGGATGGTGACCATGTCCGCACCTCCAGCCAGCGTGTCACCATGGTCATGCGTAGCGGCCTGAGTCCAGAGGAGCCTGTGCAAATCCTCGCTGAGGTCCTGCAATACTGTGTGGATGTCGGCGTCGAGGAGGTCAGGGTCATCGGCAGGGGGGAGGTTCCACTCCTCGATGTAGCCGTCCTTCGTGCGTCTCCACGTGGTAGCTGAGGTCGGCTCCCAGCTGGCCTCCAGCAGGGTCGCGATGGCCGCGCCAGTGGGCCCCTTGACCCTGCACCACAGCTTGGGGCCTGCGGCGAGCAAGGTGGTCTTGATCCTTGGCCATGCTCTGATGATCCTGGCGTGCGTGCTCGGGTGGCGTATCCAGTGCTGAAGCCAAGCCTCGATGAATTCGATCCTTAGGGAAACTCCTGGGTCCATGCCGTCGAAGGTGGCGCCGAGGAGGGAGGTGAGGCATCGGCCCGCTGCTGCTCCCGTGGCCGCAATGGCGGCCTGACGCCGCCATCGTAGTAGAGCGTGCCGAGCGAGGCCGTGCACCTGATGACCGAAAACTCCTTCGGGGAGAGCGCCAGTACGCCACAGTCCTGCTGAGATTCGAGCCTGCTGTGCAGTGCTCCGTAGTCGGTGTATCTTGCGAAACCTAGCTGCGGCTGAGCTCTGTCGCTTCCTGGCTTTGGCTTGTACCCGTCGAGTAGCCGCAGCCGCGTCAACTCCGAGGTCGACGGCCGTGGCGGTCGCAGTAACTGGGATGTCGTACTGCCGCAACTTCTTGGCTAGCGATTTGCGGACCTTGGGGGTGGAGCCGATGAGGACCGTCTTGTCAGAGATAGGCAGCTCGAACTCCTTCAGACCGTCGCAGAGCGTCTTGGCGGCACGGGGGAGGTGCTTCTGCAGTGTGCGTAGGACTCCTTCGACTCGAAGGACAGTGTCGTCTACGAAGGTCCACATCTGGGCAAGCTCTGCCTGAGCTTGGGCTTGCCGTAGAATAGGAAGTAATATGAGTCGTGCCAAGGTCGTGCCGTGCGGGGAGCCTGCGATGATGCCTTTGGAGGCGAAGATAGGCATACTCACCCATTGTCGACTGCGCAAGAATCTGGGCGCCAGGTATAGCTGTACTTCCAGTAGTAGAATGATGGGGGGAAAGCCGCAGTCGAGGCCGACCATAATGAGGTTGGCGAGCTTGATATTGTCGTAGAACTTCTGGATGTCTAATAGCAATGTGGCTGACTGTATGCCAAGTGCTGAGGCTATCTCGTCTAACAAGGCCCTGTGTAGGGCGGCCTGGAGAGCTGAGGAACCTTTGATGGCTGTAGTCCAGAAGTCGTCCAGGCCTTGGGTCCAGGATGTAGATGCAGTCGATCTGATGCGAGACCAGAGTCTGGCCATGTGAGGTAGCATGCCGAGGACCCTGTCGCCTCCAGACTTCTTGGCTGCGAGGGCTGCAATAGTGCCTGAGATTTGTAGTGGCCAGATGCCTGCATGCTCTACTGCGTTGAGGATATCCGCATAGGCTTCGACTGCTGGTTCTGGTAGTCGATGGAGGTCGCGAGGTCCAAGGGCGTCAACTCCATGTGCTTTACTGGGTGGCATGCGGCCGTGAAAGCGGTGTACGATCTCGGCTGTGATGGGC